GAAGTCGCAGCAGGGGCTGATGGCTCTTGGTTTTGCCCCTTGGCCCAGGCAGAGCTGCTGTTTGCTTGCCAGAGCTCAGACCTTCCCCCTGCGCTGGGTGTGCTGGGGCAGTGGGGAGCAGAAGACCCAAGAGGCTTACAATGATGGTTTGCTGCAAGCTTTTCCTGGGGTGAGGGCCCTGTCCACTCCAGCTTGGACTTTGCCTTTGAGGTCCACGGAGGAGGTTGCTCCTGGCTGGCTGCTGTGGCCCTGATGGGATGGGTGACCCTCCGAGGCTCTTGCTGGTGCTCTGGTTTGAGCTTCAAATCGGGTAGCACAAGGTGCACTGGGAGGGTGTGAAGGTGTTCTGCTGATAAGATGTTTACTTGTTTGTTGTCTGGGCTTGGAACATACATTTTTCTCTATTTAAGCTTTGGGAACTGCTGCATCACCTCTCCTCAACCAAATCAGACAGGCAGTAAAAAAAAAATAGGGCTAAAAATAAAATGCAGAAATCTTTCTGTAGCATAGAATAGTATCATAGAATAGAATCACGGAACAGTTTGGGCTGGAAGGGACCTTAAAGACCATCCAGTTCCAACCCCCCTGCCATGGACAGGGACACCTTCCACTAGACCAGGTTGCTCCAAGCCTCCAGGAAGATGCGTTGGATGGGCTGAAGGTGATGTGGTTTTACTGGAGGTAGTTGTGAGCCGCGAGAGCTGAAGGTGAGAGAGAGCTTCCCTGGGCTGCCTGGTACTTGGGAAGCGACCCTGGAATAGGAGCAGCATCTGGAGACGACAGGTAACAAATTCACTGACGTTTGGTCCTTGCGTTGCAAATCTTCCGGTGGGTTTTGGGTGGGAAGTCACTTGTCGGAGGCCGGAGCTGAAGAATGGTGCGGGGTGAGGACAAGGTGATGCCTTCAGCTCTGCTCTGAGCTGCTTAATCTGCCCTGCTCTCGCCAGAGGGGTAATTACTTCATCTAACGAGCATTACTGCTCCTGGAGGCTGTAACCAAGAGCTATCTCTGCTAATAAGTCATTAATGCACCATTAATTCCACCAAGAGTCTGAGATGATGACACTTGGAAACATGTTAATGAGATATTAGCATTTTCACAAGTAAGCAAAACAAAAGCACGATTAGAGAGGCCAGACGGAGCCTGGAAGCGGTGCTGAGGGCAGCCTGCCATCCCTCCGGCGGGGACGGGGCGGGAGAGGGGGTGTCACGTCATCAGAAGTGGTGCTGCTGCCAGGCTCTGCTGCTGCTGCTGCCCCAAAGGCCAGGGAATGGGATGTTCTGCATGGAGCTGTGGGAACTCATTTTACAATATAAATATCTCTGGGATTAAATGGAGCCAAAGCGGAGGGGGGAGGTGGGAAGCCTTTGGGAAAAATGGGGGGTTGCTATTTTTGTAAATAAGCTTGGGGCAGAGAGTTTTCTTCACTTTTTTTTTTTAAAGAAGGTAAAAACAAAGTCTTCGTTTTTATGGCATGTCCTGGCTGTTGGGGTTTTTTTCCCCTTCTTCCCTTCCATAGTAGTGTGGGAGAACAGAAATCTGTGGGTAAGCTGGAGAGCCTGAGGTGGGAAGATGAGAGGGGTGTTTGCAGCTGTCACCTTGAAGCTGGGGGGGACTTTTTACAAGGGCCTGTAGCGACAGGACAAGGGGTAACGGGTTTGAATTGAAAGTGGGGAGGTTTAGATTGGGTATCAGGAAGAAGTTCTTCCTGGAGAGGATGGTGAGGCACTGGCACAGGTTGCCCAGAGAAGCTGTGGATGCCCCCCCATCCCTGGAAGTGTTCAAGGCCAGGCTGGATGAGGCTTTGAGCAACCTGGTCTGGTGGAGGGTGTCTGGTGTATCTGTGGTGGAAAGGTCCCTTTGGTGCGGCCTCAGCACCGACTCCCTCTGCCCTGTACCAGAGCTGGCTGCACAGCATCCTTCCTTCAGCAGCCCCATCTCCTGGTACCCGGATGTCCCCGAATCCAGCAGGCAGCTGAATTTGCATTGCCTTCCCTTCTGCAGGCCTGAGGCTCGGGTGATGGGCTGGGAGGCTTGAGCCATGTCGGGAGGTGGGATTCTCCATCCTTTCTTCTTTCACCTTCCCTGTGAGGTGAGTGCCTTAGGGCAGAAGCTTTGCCTTGCTGCTTATACCACACCAGGGAGCAAAGAAAAGGCACTGGGGATGGTTTCTTGTCCCAGGCTCTTGCAAGAAGCAAGGAACCTTTTTTCACCCTGGAATATCCCCAGAAATATGTACAGCCGCTTCCTTGCATTGTAGGCAAATTCACTTTAGGCATCTGAGCGTAGGGTGGAGCAGGAAAGCAGACCCCACGTGCCAGCCTTGTGGACCCACAGCTGGGGATGAGACGGCGTCTCCGTTTTTTGCGGCTGATGCAGAGATGAGGTGTGAATTTCCATGTGAAGTTAGGCCACGCTGATGTGGTCTGGCCAAGCCTTCCGCCTAGAAACTCACAGTGTCCCATGGACGATGCCACCCGATTTCTGTTCTCCTTCATGAAAAAGGAATTTATTCCCCCAGGGATTATGGGGTTTTTTTAGGTGAAGGTGATGGCTTTCCCATTCACTTTATTCCCTTACTTATTTTAGCAGCAGTGTTGGAGCCAAGTGACTGATTCTTTTAATAGTTTAGGGTGGGGTTGTTTTTTAATGCCCACTCTTGCTGTGGCTTGACAACACTGAACTGTAGCTCAGGGGGGGTTTTGAAGTCGAGCAAAGCGGACGGACTCCCCAGTGGGCAACTTCTGGCTGGCAGGCGTGAGGGAGAGCCTCTTCTGCGTGGTTTCAGGGACAGCGAGTGCAGCACAGCGCCGTCCGGTTTATTTGAAGAGAAGTGGGGGGGATTTTTTGCTTAGTTGGTGGTTTTTCATAGCCGAGGTGGTCTAATTGGCTACTTCTTGGCTGCCAAAAAGGGGAAAGGGAGTTCTGCTCGTTCCGAGCATCCTTGAAGCCTGTGCCACTGCTGTGCTTCCTGCCTCCCTCATCATCGCACTCCCCTCTCTTCCCCTGCCTCCCTAAACACGTCGCATCTCTCCGGAGCCTGGCAGGAATACCTAGCTGTGGCAGGATGCTGTCCCAGGGAAGACGGCGAGTGGGATATGGAATAATCCTACCATAAACTTCACCCTGCATGTGCTCCCAGCCCCACCAGTTTCCCAGGCTGGCTGCAGTCTGAAGATGCAGCGACCATTTGCTGTTTTATTCTCGGCTCTGCGTTGGAACTAGAAGAGGGTGAGGGACAGCTCAGTAGCCACAGCTTCGCGGGCAGGCCTGGTGCCAGCAAATCCCACACGGAAGTCTCGCTGCTGAGCGAGGTGAAAGGGGAGGTGAAAGGATGGGCCACTGAGGAGGCTATAAAAGGTCAGGACGGAAAAGGAAAATGCATCATGATTGCATTTCCTTTTGGGAAGTGGAGCTGGAGGAGGTGGCCTCGTTTTTCCTGACCTTTTCAGGTGGCTGTTGTTTAATAGTGTAATATTTGTGTTGTATATTAGTGTAATAAGTGCCATCTGCATTTATTACACTCACCTGGTTAAAATCAAGGGATGATGCATCTGTTGCAGGAAGCAATCATGCCAACACCCTGAGCTTTGATGTTCCCCGGGATGCTTCCTTTGGCAGCCGGGGCAAACAGCGGAGCCTGTTTCCCAGCCTGCGCCGCCAAGGCCGGTTAACCCGGAGCAAAGCAACACCTGCTTTTCAGGTGAGATGGCAGCCCGAGCCTCTCCTGCCTCACCTGTTTCCATCCCATAGGGAATGGCAGCTGCTTTTGGTTGCTGTCCCTACACCAGCAAATTGCTGCTTCAGGGCTTTGGCTTTAGCAAAGAGGTATCGTGGAGGATACCCTGATGAACCTCATGTGCTCCCCATGTAAGAAAACAGTAATTAAGGGCAGGGACAGAAAACACTACAAACTGGCACTTCACTGCCTGTGCAAGGGTGCTCCTGCCTTCCCCAAAACCCCTCCAGAAACTCGGTCTTGCCAAGGGTCTGCAGGAAGCGGCTATTCTACAGCCTCTGGGATGATGGTGACCATCTCTGGGGACTTGCTGGGGTGCCCCAAACCTCTTCAGCATCATTTAGTGCCGATTTATTTATCAAGGCCACGTGGGCTGAGGGCTTTGCTTTTCACAGCCGGGGGATTTAGCCAGAGGCAGAAACAGCCGAGTGAGGCGATGTGGGCTGGGGTGAGCATCCCCTCAGCCCTGCCATCGGCCTCCCCCTAGCTCTGCACACTAGTAGCTGAACACATGAATTGGGAATTAAAAACCTGCGATGCTGTATTTTAGTGGCCAAGGTTTTCAAGGATTAAAAATAAAGCTGTGGAGCGAGCGCCCACGTGTGTGAAACGGGGCAGCTCCTGGCCCGGGAGCGTGGGTGGTCAGTGCACCTTCCCACAGGCTTCTGGGCTGTGATTGGGGGGAAAAACCACAATTAAATGGAAAAAGACAAAACTAGAAGCTTCTGTGCAGAAGCACCTGCAAGAAAAGAAAGGGAGCGGTGATGGAGCAGGCCCATAACTTCTCATGGTCCCTGGCAAGGTGAGGAATTTCAAGGCAGGATGATGCAGGGATGTGATTTTTGGAGGAAGGGGCACGTGAAAGCATGGGAGACTCCTGCACGCTGCCGGCTCTGGCTCAGCCGCTGCCGTGTCCCCCTTTGACATGGGGCAGCAGCTTTTCAAAGGGTGCCATGGCGCTGCCTGAACCTCCGTCCTCTCCCTTTACCTCCCTAATCCTTTCCCCCTAGGGAATTTGGCTTCCCTTGCCTACAAACCAAGTGGCTGACGTGCCCCGGGGCCCAGAGTTTGCTACGCAAAGGCCAGAATTCAGGTTTATTGTGGGTGCCACGCTCCTGCCCTCCGGTTGCCTGCTGCCCGCCAAACCTGCCGTAATCCTGCCCGCAGCAGTGGCTCGCACCCGGCCATCTCCTCGACAGCGGATGCTCTGCTGCAGAAGCGCTTATAAATTAAGGATTTTATTTTTTTGGCTCATCCCTGCTAGGAGTCGTCGTAGAGAGGGTTGTTGTAGTTGCCCCAGGAGCCGTAGTCGTGGTCATCCAAAAGCCTGCCGTAGGAGGAGTGCCTGCCAGGGGGGAAGCAAACCGCCCAGCGTTACTGGTTGCTTTGGTGATTTACCAGTTATTTTACCATGAAGGGGGGAAAAAACCCCGCACGCAAGTCCTGACTAGGTCAAACTTCAGGATATTTTAGCAGGAAGCACCAGGACAGAAAATAAGCCCAGGCAGGATTTTGCCCCCATTGAACCAGACTGGGACATGCCAGGGAATTACACAAGACATTTGCTCATCTCAGCTGTCGCAGAGCCTCGTTACGGATCCTTGGTGCTGGGCCGCGCTGCTGTTTGTTGTCTTAAGTCACAGCAAGACCCGTGGCAGCAGCTTGCCCTGGGGATAATTACTGGTTATGACTATGCTCAACAGCATCTGTGGCATTTGAGCAAGGCTGTTGTAAAATGAGGAAGAAAAACTCTGCTTTTCAATACAGATGTGGTAGAAGATGCAGCTGTGCTGGGACTAGAGGCTGCACGTTGCTCTGAGGGGTTTGGGGACACCATGTCCCCAAGGCTTTGTCCCTAAGCATCATCCTTGTGATGAGGGGACACGTGATACGACAGCTCAAGCACCCTGCCAGGCAGGCACCCCGAAAACAGCCTTACCTGATCTTGAGGTATGCCGCTGCCCCGAAAACTAGTACCACCACCACGATGACCGTCACAGTTATGGCCACAATGCTCCCTGCGGAAGGAGGGTCCGTCAGAAAGGGCAGCGCTCAGTCCCCCCTCCCCAAGTCCCAGCCCCCGTAGCACCCACCCCACACCCAGCACTGGACCGGACCCTGGGCTTGGATGCGCTGTGCAGTGGTGTTTAAGGGGTGTGACATGAGGCCGGATGACACCGCCGGAGAACACCTCTGTCCGCACCGAGGGACCGGACTGGGCTCCAGGACTACGGACTTGCCCCTTCATGCTCTGCCTGGCACTAGGCAGCACTGCGTGCTGAGGCAAGGCTAGAAAATGCTCCAGATCCCTCCCCATTTCGGCCCTCTGAAGCACCTGTGAGCTATCTGAGCGTGCAGAAGAGACAGGTGGAAGCTAGTGTCAGCTTAGTGAAGTCTCCAGGAGGGAGAAGAAAAACCTACATCTTCCTAACTCAGGCTGCATCCATCATCAGGTCAATTCTTCTCTCAAATTTGCAACTTAAGGATTTTATTCGCATCTCCTGGCAACGGAGGGTTGGTATCTGCAACTCGTCTGCACCAGCGGGGAGGGAGCGAGCCAGGGCGGCTCAGCTATTGCTGAATGGTGCTCTCAGACAGCTGTCCACCTCCTCCCTTCCAATTCGGGGGGCCTGCTCCTCTTATCCAACCACCCTGGGGTGGACACTGTACCCGTGTATGCACGTGGAGAGCAGTGCTGCTCACCTGCGCTCAAGGCACGCGGGACCTCTTCCATGGTGACCCCGGTGGAGAGGGTGGTTTTGTCGGTGGCCGTGGTCTCAGCTGCGTCAGGGCTCGTCACAGTCACCAGGGGGGACGTTGGCTCCACGGCCAGGCTTGATGCCATGGCCAGCGTCCCCCGGGAAGGGATGTCCTTGGTCAGCGCCGGGGGCTGGGTGGTGCCGGGGCTCATGAGGACAGGCGTTGGGGGCAAAACCATCCTGGGGGATGAGTACAGGTCGCTGGTGGGAAGGGAGGAGGAGGGCGACGATGCAGGTACACCCGTGGGGCTGGAAGCTGCCCCCAAATCCATCGTGCCTCGTGCCAGACTGGCAGTATTTGCTGTCCGAGGACCCAGGGCTGTCTCCAAGGTTGGTGGCACCAAGCTGAGGTTGGAGGCTACAGATGGGCTGCCTGCTACAGCGATGGTGGCCATGGCGATGGAGCCAGGAGCAGGGGACGGTGCTGCTGTGGGGGTGGAATTGCGGCCATCCCCCTCCGCCGGCCCAGAGGATGCCCCGTCTCCGGCAGATCCCAAGGAGATGGGCAGCGAGGGCTGGCCAGGAGCTGGCGTGGGGACAGCTGCTTCCCTGGAGCCCAGCTCTGCTGGGGTCCCCTCTGAGGGGAAGGGAGGGCTGGTGGGGGCAAGGCGCGATGGTCTGGAGACATCACCCAGTGCTAGGAGAGAGACAAAGAACCATTAACAATGGGAAAATCCTTGGGGCAACCTGGGGCTTGGGTGAATACTACAGGGTTTGGGAATGAAGCTGAATAAATTAAGTTTATTGTTTTTAAAATACTGAGAGCCACCTAAAACAAAGAGATGGGAAATATCCCTGCGTGGCTACAGGTGAGGTTTAAACCAGACTGGTTGCCCCAGCGTGGGTCAGCACTGGTTTTCCCCCAGGTTGGGATCACCCCCTCACCCCCAAACACCCCCTCCATCTTCCCAGCATCTCCTCCCAAAACAGCAGGGGAGCACGCTCCTCCTCAGCAGCAGCCACTGCGCAGCTGGGAGTGATAACACAAGACACCTCTTTCTCCTCTCCCTCTGTTTCCTTGTGCATTCATTTGTCTCTGTTTAGCATGAAGATGAGTCATTTTTTCCCCGTCCCCAGCAGCAGGCTGCTGGGGCTTTCCCCCTTCCCCCCGTTTCAGTTCTCCAGGGCTAAACTCGGCTCTGGGAAGGACTAGCAGCTAGCTCCTTCAGCACGGCCAGGCCAAGGGAAGCGCGGGCCAACATGGCGTGGCACTGGGATGGGTTTTTATTCCCATGTATTCATTTATTTACACCCCCAGAGCATCCCAAGCCCAACACTGGAAAGAGCAAGAACTTGCTCCGGTGTAAACAAGCTGCGATGAACTAATTATTGAGGGTGGAGGACAAAAACCTCATCAAAAAGCTGATTTGGTGAAAACCCTGAAGCTAAACTCCTACCTCCAGCTCCAGAGATGGGAGCTTGGAGCTTATCCAAGTGGGAAACAGCATCAGTTGAGAGCAGAGCTGACTCTCGTGGCAGGTCTTTGTGAGCAGGAGCTCACAGCACGGCTGGGGGTCACCGGTGGGCACACAAGGCTCCCATCACCGAGCCTCCAGCAAACCCCCTCTCGGTGCTGAGCGCCCAGGAGGGTGGCAAGACTCCCGGGGCGCAGACAGCACCTCCCGCCAGAGGATGGCAAAGTGGGTGCGTAGGAACGGTGAGATGCGGCACCAGTGAGCAGGGACTCGCCCAAGCGTGTTTTGGGGTGTTTTCAGCCATCCGTGCAAACAGAAGGCTGCGGTCAGTGGAGGGGCGCAGCAGAAAGGCCATCGCAGCTAAGGAGCTCTGTCTCGCTGCAGCGAGCACTGGATCCGTAGCACACCTTTCCCGAAGGCATTTTCTGTCCAGAAACCACAAACATATGCTTGGCCAGGGATTTAAAGCCAGATCTGGGGCATGGCTTCTACTAGAGCCCAAGGTATTTAGGAGCACAAGTCTCTGACGCGCTTGACCCAAATTTCTTTTTCCTGGCCCAAGCACAGGAGCAGGGAAGCACTCAGAAATCCCACATCCTCCTCCTTCCCAGCTTTCTAAAGCATACCAGGCTCCTGTGAAGCTTCTGCTGTCAATAGGGCTCTCTGATGTCCCCTCACCCCAAGATCTCTAGGTCTCAGGCTTCCCGGTGAATACCTGGGAGTTACTGGCACGTGAACTCAGCTGCATTACTCCGATAATCCTGAGCTTAAAGGCATTAGTTCAGATGAACGCACTGGTTTGCACAGCTCGGCTTCACCCGCAGCACCTCAGCGGGACAACGCCTGCCGGCAGCGCTAGCTCCGTCCAACGAACCCGACGCGTCCCCGCTCAGCCCATCCCTCCTCCTGCAGAGACTGGTGGCTCCCTTGCTCCGTTCAGGCACTGCAACGCCATAAAACCACACATTCCCTGTGCCGCGCCATCCCCTCGCATAGCTCTCTCACTGATGTGCCACAGGCGAGTGCCAGGTCCCATTCCACCTGCAAAGCACCTACAGCCACGTCTGTTTCCGATGGGTTTTTGTCCCTCATTCCGGTGCACTGCCCTGGTGCCTGCTCACAGCTGCAGCTCCTACAGACCAGGTGGCAGAGAAACAAGGAACCCCCCACCCTGGCTTTGCTTTCCCTTTTCAGCTGTGTTGGTGGAGGATGGGGCTTGCAGACGAGCTGGGGGCTCTCCTGGCCACCCAGCTCCCCGGGGACAGGCAACACCCCACCGTGCGAGGACACGGGGAGCTGTCAAGCTCCAACAGGGTCCTCAGCCAGGTCCTTTCCACACCCTCATCCTCACCCGGTTCAGAAGAGGCTGCATTGCCTCTGGGATCCTGGCTGGGCTTTTCCTGGGGTGCAGAGGGGCACAGCCTGTGCGTGAGGGGGTGAGGGCTGGACCCCAGGGCCCTTGCTGGGTCCCAGATGGAGGGGATGGCTCGGGGGAACAAGGCACAGCACAGGGCTGGCCCAGGCAGGGTTTGCTGAGAGTAATCCAGCATTGTCAATCCAGCACTGTCAGTCTGGAATCCAAGGCTTGGCTGGCAGTGACCACGGAGGAGCAGGGGAAAACCAGGGCTGAGCAGCGTGCTGCCTTCAGTCGTGCGTGCTCTCCTGGGAAATGCCCCTGTGACTTGGGACCGGCTTGGCTGGGAGCTCTCAGGCAGCAGCCAAGGACTGTTCCTGCATCTAGTTTTGGCTCACCCTCTGAATTTTTATACCCCTTAGATATTATCGGAAACTTCCTGACTCATCCTGGCTAGTGGTACTGCCAGCTTTTTGAGGTCCCTATCAATTTGTGTCCAAAGTTCAAGCAGACCATGAGAGATCTGTTGACCCAGAGCACAAGCAAGCAAGACAAGATGCCAGGACGGCTTTGCAGAGAGGTGGTAAGCTGCCAGTGCCCAGGAGAGACCGGAAGCATCTTCATCGGCAGAGAGGTAATAAACTTTCAAGGTGCTACCTGGGAAGGTCCTGCTGTGCTCGATGGAAGAGCAACATGCTGTGCCGCAGGCTGGGAGAGGCTGCCTGCTGCCCTTTGAAGTCCCACATCTGAAATAGCCACGGTGTGATGGAGAAAGGATTGTTTTACAGAAATACAGATAGAATTGAACCCTGGTTTGACGAACACCAAGGGTGAAGGGATGCTGGGTCCAGGTTTGTCAGCACTTCAGCATCCTACGCTGCCACGTGGCAGCTGATTTCTGCCCTGGCTTAGTCATCTCCGGCGCAGACCCCCGAAAACAGCCGGGTGCTCCGCTCAGGGCACGCACGAGCTGCAAGCTACTGCTGGCAAAGTCAGCTCAGCTGGGCACCTTCGGGCAGCCCTGCAGAGCCCGCAGGCATTCGTGCTGCAAGAGCACTTGCGGTGACGATTCCTTGCCTCACTGCTAATGGGGAAGGAGGACTTGGTGTAGCTTGTGTGTGGAAATAATCCAATTATCTGGGGTCGGGAGGGAGGCTGTTGGAGCTGGGGCAGGGCATGCTGGGCCAGAGTACTTGGGTTCTTCACTCGTGCCTTGACATCGGCTTGCAGGGTTGGAAAGACACATCAGCTGTACATCTCCAAAGCGGGACCCTGCTCTCTGGCAGAGGCCATGCTTCCTCTCGCCTAGTGCCCAGGATGGCTGCGTGGTGTTAAACCCTTGAGAAAGACCCTGTTGCTCAGTGTTCCTCATGAATCCAGCCAGGGATTTCACGTCCCACTCTCAACTGTGAAAACCAGTGTGCTCTCCCAGGGCTGTGGGTGACGGCACCTGCAGGTCTCGCAGCGTGCAAGGCTGTGGACTAACAGCACCTGCTAGAAACTGCACTTGTCCGTCTTTTCTCTTACAGGAGATGCGGTTTTGGCAGTCTCCCTGCTTTGTACTTTGCCACCTGCCCCCTCAGGTGAGTGTATAGGGAAGATATGGGGACGCTTCAGCCTGCTCAAGAAAGGACAAGGGGGTACCAGTGTTAAAGCACAAAAGGACACACGTTAACAGCTTGAATCTCCGTATCAGCATATGGAAGAGGCAGGTTCTTGCAGCTTGTTTCTGCCCACTGAAAGTGGTGTACCAAATGGTGTTGGTGCCTCTGCTGTGCCCTTGTTCCCCCGAGCCATCCCCTCCATCGGGTGATCTGGGACCCAGCAAGGGCCCTGGGGTCCAGCCCTCACCCCCTCACGCACAGGCTGTGCCCCTCTGCACCCCAGGAAAAGCCCAGCCAGGATCCCAGAGGCAATGCAGCCTCTTCTGAACCGGGTGAGGATGAGGGTGTGGAAAGGACCTGGCTGAGGACCCTCTTGGCTGACAGCTCCCCGTGTCCTTGTGCCAGCGCAGCCAGCTCACGGGCAGCGTGCCCCACGGGTGGGTGCTGCCTGGCGCCGGGGAGCATGGTGGCCAAGCGACCCCCCAGACGTCTGCAAGCCCCGTCCTCCACCAACACAGCTGAAAAGGGAAAGCAAAGCCAGGGTGGGGGGTTCCTTGTTTCTCTGCCACCTGGTCTGTAGGAGCTGCAGCTGTGAGCAGGAACTAGGGCAGTGCACCGGAATAAGGGACAAAACAAACCACTAGAAACTTTTTAGGACCACATGACTTGAAAGGCTAAAAAATCCTCAGACAGGGCTTGTCAGAGGGACAGAA